TTCTCCTGTTCCTCCCCCCTCGTCCTCCTCCCCCTTCCCCTCCTCCTCCTCCTTTCTCCTCCCCCTTCTCCTTCTCCTTCTCCTCTTCCTCCTCCTCCATTCCGTTGCCTTATACATAACTCCTCCCTGCCGCACCCCGAAGCCGGTCGAAAGGGCGGGCCGGGCGTTTCGCCTGAGACTTCCTTACCACTTATGAGCCTGAAGCTTCAACATTGACAACATGTTCACAAATTCAGGGCGAGTCGCTACCAAAATGTGGTTATCGCTTCAGCACCGCGCACATTCGTGTTACGAGATTACAAGAGCTTCACGGATGGAGGGAGGGCCGCTTCCAAAATGTGGCTCTCGCCTTAGCGCCGCGCGAACTCGTCCTATACATTGGCAAGAGCTTCACGGATTAAGGGCGGGTCGTTCTCAAAATGGGGCTCTCGCCTGAGCGCCGCGCGCATGTGTGCTAACATCTGTAAGGAGCTTTACGGATCGAGGACGGGTTGTTTTCAAAAAGTGGTTGTCGCCTCAGCTCCGCGCGGATTTGTTTAAAATTGTGCAAGAGCTTCACGGATGGAGGGCGGTTCCTTTGCAAAATGCGGCTCTCGCTTTCGCGCCGCGCACATTCGTCTTAAACGTCAAAAATTCCACGGCTTCCCATGGCCAGCGTACCAGAAACGGTGTCCTGAAACGTCTCAGGATTGCCTGGGCGCGACAGTTACGCTGATGGAGTCCCGAGAGTCAAGTTCATTTGTGGCGTTGACGTCCCGAGAATGCTGTTCCCGCACGCTTCAGGATTTTCAAGCGAGTGTCTCCCAACAAGGCACTTCCTTCAGTGAAAATGAATCCGTGTAGAGGCCTTTGCAGAGGGAAGTTGGGGTGAGGGTTTATTCCGACACCGTTGATGGATCTTGGGATTACACAGGTCCTCCTCCTCTTCCTCCTCCTCCTCTTCCTCTTCCTCCTCCTCCTCATCATCATCCATTCTATTTCCAATGAGCAACTCCTCCCTGTCTCATCCCGAGGCCAGCCGGAAGGGTGGTCCGGGCGTTTTGCCTCAAACTTCCTTGCCCTTCATGAGCCTGAAACTGAAAAGCTGCCAACCGTTTCACAGATGGAGGGCGGGTCGCCTCCAACATGTTGCTTTCGCCTTACCGCCGCGCGCGCTCGTCTTAGAAATTCGTTTTGAAAATCACGGATTGAGGACAGGCCGAATTCAAAATGCGGTTCTCGCATTAATGCCGCGCACATTCTTTTTACACAACTGCAAGAACTTCCCGGATTGAAAGCGGGCCGTTTTCCAAATGGGGCTCTCGCTACAGCGCCGCGCACATTCCCACATGTGGCTCTCGCTTCCGCGCCGCGCGCACTCGTCTGAAACATGTGATGCGTTTCGCGCACCAGCAACGGCGCACTGGAACGGTTCAGGATTGTCAGGGCGCAACAGTTTACGTTGATTCGCGGTGTCAAGTCCCAGGAATAATGTCATGGCGCGGTTCAAGACCGTCAAGACGCAACAGTCAAGTTGACTCGTGGGGTGCTGTTGTATGGTCTCAGATTTTCGCACGTTTGTCCCCCAACGGGGCACTTCCCTCAGTGGAAACGCACCCTTGTAGAGACCTGTGAAGGAAGGGTTTGGAAGGAGGGTGTATTCCAACGTCGTTGATGAATCTTGGGCTTGCAGTGGTCCTCCTCCTCCTCCCCCTTCTCCTCCTCCTCGTCCTCCCCCTCCTCCTCCTCGATTCCTTTTCCTTATACATAATTTCTCCCTGTCGCACCCCGAAGCCAGTTCTAAGGGCGGGCCGGGGTACTCGCCTGAGAACTCCTCACCCTTTGCGTTTCTGGAGCTGAAAAATGACAGCTACTTACTTCACAGATGGAGGGCGGGTGGTTTTGAACATGTGGCTCTCGCCTTGGCGCCGCGCACCTTCGTGTAAAACATGCACGAATTCACGGATTGAGCGCGGGCCGTTTTCCACATATGGCTCTCGCATTAGCGCCGCGCACATTCGTTTTACAAACTTGCAAGAGTTTCACGGATTGAGCGCGGGTGGTTTTCAACATGTGGCTCTCGCCTTAGCGTCGCGCACATTCGTTTTACAAACTTGCAAGAGTTTCACGGATTGAGCGCGGGTGGTTTTCAACATGTGGCTCTCGCCATAGCGCCGCGCACATTCGTTGCACAAACTTGCAAGAGTTTCACGGATTGAAGGCGGGTCGTTTTCCAAATGTGGCTCTCGCATTAGCGCCGCGCACATTCGTTTCAAACATTGCAAGAGTTCCACGGATTCCCATGATAAGCGTACCAGAAATTGTGTGTTTGTAAGGATCGAGGATTACGCGGGTGCAACAATTATGTTGATTCAAGGTGTTGGAGTCCCAAAGATGGCGTTTTGGTACGATTCCAGATCTTCAGGACGCAACAGTCAGGTAGGTTGATCCGTGGCGTGGAAATCCCGAGAACCATTTTCTGGCGCGCCTGAAGGTCTTCAAACGGTTGTCTTCCAATGAGGCAGTTCCCTCAATGGAAATGAACCGTTGTAGGGGCTTATGAGGCAAGAGCTTGGAGGAGGGTTAATTCTAGCATCGTTGATGACTCTTGGGTTTAAACTGGTCCCCCTCCTCCCTCCCCCCTCCTCCCTCCTCCCTCCGCCCTCCTCCCTTCTCCCTCCGCCCTCCTCCCTCCGCCCTCCTCCCTCCTCCCTCCTCCCTCCCTCCTCCCCCCACCCGTCCTTTGGGCACTCTTGTCGTTCGGTCGTGCACACTTTGATTGTGACCAACGAGTGCGTGTTTTGCAGCCAGGGGTTCAGAACTAGACGCATTGCCCAGGAGCACGCTGTACAAGCTGTCCTTAAGGGTCGTTGTCCTCCGTTGACCACGCCTTTCCATCACATTGTCCTGGAGCCAGAGAGTCTGTCTTGTCCCCTGTCCGAGTTGACGCTGGCCTGTGTCTATGGCCCGATACATCCCCAGGCCAGCACGGAGTATTGCTGTAACTGTACGGAGCCGTTTGAGGATCGAGCTGCTCTCAATCTTCACTTGCGTCGACACGCGCCTCGAGTGCCGATCACCTGCGTGAGTTCAGATGTACCGCCTGGGGGCAGAGCAGCTGGCGGCGGCAGGAGCTCCACGCTCGAGGTCGCACGGCGGCGGGCGGGGCTCTCGCAGGGGCCGCTCTGGCTCGGCAGTGCATTCCCAGCAGCGTGGAGGTCGTCGGCGGCAGGACAGGCAGGCCGAGCCCGCCAGCGCGGCTCCCATGCGGCGCGGCCCTCGCCAGCTCCAGGCTGCGGCCCCCGCCCACGGTGGGGGGCCTCCCGCAGATGCGCGCACGAAGGTCGGCCAGGCGTACGGGTTGCCAGCCGATGCCATAGACAAACTCCCACCTATGGATGTTCAGATGTGCGCCAAGCTCATGCCGATACTCACGAGGGCGGTCCTGGGCAACTCCTTCAACATCCGCCTCCTGCTGGCGGCCGAGTTCGTGACGATCACGATGGACGAGGAGGCGGACCTGATCAAGGCGGGCTTCACTGCTGGCCGTGCGTACGCAGTCGAGGCGGCGAGGATGCGCGAGGCTCACCAGCAGGACCCGAAGAACAACGAGCTGCCCGAGGTGACGATGAGGCCAGCATGCGTGCAGGTCTTCATGGTGGTGGCGCGCAAGCTCACAGACGCAGGCGAGAAGGTTGGAGCCAGGAACGCGAAGGCCTGGACGGAGCAGCAGCTGAAGCTAGACGGCCTCAGCTCGATTGCGGACATGACCTGCCTGGTCAAGGGGTTCCGCGTGAGCAGTGCGTTTCGAGAGGGCCTGGCGAAGATGGTGTTCAGCCTAGCAGATCCACAGATGCAGCGCGTCTTCCAGGAGTGCGTGGAGCAGCTCGGAGGGGAAGTGCGCCCAGGCATGGCCCCAAGGTCACACGCCGAGAGGGTGCTGCAGCTAGCGTTGGACGAGATGGAGTTGTGACCACGAGTGGCGTTAGAGCGCCTGGCGTCAGTTCGCAAGACCCAGACTCGGCTCCCTGGGCTACGTCGCCGAATTTTGAAGGCAGCCGAAAGCGTCAGGTCGCAAGTCCCAGAGGTAGCCGCCTGGGCACAGTCGTCGCCACATCAGCGTCGCCAGTTTTGCAGGATGAGATGGGCATCGTGCACGGCGGAGTGGAGTCGAGGTACTGCAGTTCTCAGGATGAGCAGGGCATCGTGAGGAGGGATGCAGTACAATATCTCCTATCGGCAGCCTCACGTGTGCAGTTGAGGGCGTCTTCTCCGATTGAGCTGTCGGCATCACAGGAGCCAGCCCTGCTTCAGTGTCGCTGTCGGGATCGATGGCGCCGAGGGGTTCAGAGAAGTTGCCGACACCACAGAGTGCAAGTGTGAGTTCGCAGAGTCAGGCCCGACGGAGTGGGACGACTGCGGCGAGGAGGATTGCTGGGTCGTCTGAGTACGGGGGCTCCGTGAGGCCTGACTTCCAGGAGGCAGCCCGTGGCGCAGCTGCCGCTGCTGCCTCTTCTCTTCCTCCTCCTCGTCCTTCGAGCCTCCCTCCTCGCCCGTCCTCGACTCTTAGCTTCAAAAGCCTGGTCGCTTATGCGACCCGTTTTTGATTTCTGGGCTGCCTTTGTTCCCTTCTTGGCCTCGGGTCCGCCTGGGGGCCGTCTTGTGTGAAATTTATTCGTAGTCGTCGCTCGCCGTGAACCGTGGTTGAGCGAGGACAACTTGGGGCTCCCACCTGCCATGGGGGGGAGGCCATCCGTATATCGCATTCTCATGCGCACGATAGGTCGCACATAGTGTAATATTCTCTCTGAGTTGTGCTATGTGGTCAGGGAGACATTCGGCCCGATATCGCTCCGCCGCCGCCGCCGCCTCCTCCTCCTCCTCCTCATACCCCTCCCTCCACCCTACTCCCTCCTCCTCCTCATCCTCCCTCCCTCCTCCTTCCTCTCTCTTTCCTCATTCGTCCTGCCTCCCTCCTCCCTCCTCCATGCTGTTCCTCCTTCAGCCCGTCGGGGGGGCGCCCGTCGGATAAGATCAGGATGGCGAAGCAGACGATCAGGGGGCTCGCGCCCAGGAGCCAGCCGATCTTGATGCTCCAAATGGGCAGGTAGCCTGGCGGGGTGGGAGGCAGGCGGAAGGAGGAGGAAGGAACACGGAGGAAAAAAGGGAAGAGGAGGAAGAGGAGGAGGAGGAGGAGGAGGAGGAGGAGGAGAGGGAGGAAAAGGAGGAGGAGGAGGAGGCGGACGAGGCCTCGTGGCGCAGGGGGCCCGTTCATGGGCAGACTCATGCTTTGCGCGGAAACTCAACCGCCAAATTGATTGAAACGGACTCGGGGCGTGGCTAGAGCGAGCTGGGCGCGAGCAGGCATTAGAGCTGCACGATCTGCACAGCCGTCTCCAAGCCCGCCACGCCCGCGACTGCTCAAGTCACGCCGATAGCTGCAAGTGTCAAAGGGCAGCACGAGACGATTGATCAGATCATCGCTCAGCTTCGCGGACACACAACAAAGCCAGGCGCACAGGCAGGAGTTCGGCCGGGAGCGGGGCCAGGGTAGAAAGCACAACAGCTTCCAAAGCGGTCCACAACGACAGTCGTGCGCCGGGTCGTCATCACAGTGTCCACGGCACCCAAACAAATGCGGCTGCGTGGCCACAAGGGGCCTGCAAGAGAAGGCCCACGCGCTGAGGACGCCTGCCTTCTACAACGGCACTCTGCACGGCTTGCGGGCAACGAGCTAGGTTCTCCCCGGCACGCGGCCAAGCGGATGCTCCGCGCATCGGGGGGGACCATCTGGAGAGCCTCGCGAACAGGGCCAGGGCCAGGACGTCGGGGGAGAGGAGAGGCTGGAGGAAACGGGCGGGGGGATGCGCTGGTTGGGGATGCGAGCGGCGGCCTTTCCCTCCTCCGCTGCAGTGGCGGCCCCACGGCGGTCCGAGCCTAGGGCCATCAGGGCTTGCGCCGCCAGCGGGCCCTCAGCTTCGCGGCGACCGTCAGCGCCGTCGCAACGTCCCCCGCGCGGCGGGCGAACGTCGGCGAGCGCCAAAATGGTGGGGCACCGCGAGCGCGTTTCTTTAATTGCAGCGACCATGTGCATTATACGGGGGGGAGGGGGACAATGGGGGGGGTATAATGTAACGCCTCCCCCCCGCCGTGCGCCCGTTGCGCACGGCGGCAGTGCCCGGAGCGCACCAGGGGGGGGAGGGGCGTTATGTCATAGGGGGGGGGCTACAGTGCCCATTATGCCCTGAGCAATAAAGAAGCACGCTCCATCTTTCATCGAGGCAGGGAGCGCGGCGAGGCCACCTCTGCGTGGCGCGGCAGCCTCGCGCAGCACGCGCAGCCACCCCAGACACTGCAGCGCTGTCTCGAGCGCCGTCCGCACGGCTGGCGCGACCGCGTCGCCAGGCCGAAGAAGGCGGCTCGCGAGCCGTCGTCGCGTTTGCGGGGGCACCTTTGCGTGTGTGTCAGCGTTGATTCGAGGATTTGTATGACGGCCAACCGTGTTGCCAGAGTGTCCCGCTGCAGGGGTCGTTCGGCCGTTCGCGCCAGGGCGCCCACTTCCGCAAATGAAAACGCTTGGGCACGCAAAAACCGATAATCTGTAGGCACACGACAGTATGGATCGCAAACTGATCCACATCTCTGATGACCTCGGCGTCGGGCATCGAGAGCTGGGCGACGCAGCTAAGCGCGGAGAGAGCGTGCGAGCGCTGCATGTTGATAGACATTGATGTTGGCGCGCTGGCACTGGCAAATTCCGCCGCCCGACGCTTGAAATTGGCGAGCGTCAGTGCCCAGGACTCGTTGGTCACCGCAGGCCCGAGCAGCATGCCGAGGTACTCGGCACGGTCGGCTATCGCGAACTGTGCCCACGTGCTCTGGCATGCGCCCATCCGCGTCTGGAACTCTCCGATCGCGGCGCAGTCGAGCGCGCTGCGGAGGAGGCACTGCCGCGCACTTCGCGAGTTTGAAGCGCAGGCCCGCCAGCAGGTCAACCGTGCGAAAGGCGGCGCGCACCTTGTCCAGGAAGATGCCATTCTCCACGGTGGCCTCTACGAGTTCTCGGCGGGGCCTGGGGCGGAGGAGGGGAAGGGGGCAAGAGGGCAGGGGGAAAACACCACCTCTGGCACTGACCTGCGACAAAACAGGTACATTGAAATCACCAACGGGGAGGAGACGGCGAGAGATGGAGGACGGGGCGCTGACGTAGTGAAGACAACGTACTGTCATACACTTTCAGGAATGCATGTCTTTGGCTGCTGCTCCCCAAATCACAAATCCCAAACTCATTGAATAGCAACGGGCATCATATTCCCACCTTTTGCGCGGCCGGCCTTGTGGCCTGCTTCCGGTTTCTGACCACGCAAGAACAGGTGGCAACCACCTCTCCGCAGGCAGCTTGGCGACGTACCCCGCGCAGTTTACTATTCGCGCAGCAGTACTTCCGACCACGGTTTGGTCTGAGTGCCTTCCTTATTTTCAAATAATTACACGCTCGTGCCACACATGCAAAACCTCATGCCGTGGACTGGTCCAATCACCCGCCCCCCAGGTGGCCCAACAACTCGTCTTAGAAGCTTTCGGCATGCAGCGTCCAACTGTTCCCCAATTAGGCTTGCCTAAAGGGTTTTTACTTGGTTAAAGGCTGGTGCCTCGGGGACTTTGCCTATTCCCCGGGGATTACCTGGGTTCCCTGGGTTCCCCAAGTTCCACGGGTTCTCCGGGTTCCCTGGGTTCCCCGGGTGCCCCGGGTTTCCCGGGTTCACCGGGTGCCTCATGCCAACAAAATCCCCCAGGTTCCCCAAATTCCCCAGGTTCCCCAGGTCTCCCGGGTGATTCATGCCAAGCAGAGTCAAGCACTGCGCCATGCAATAGGAAGCTTTCCCCTAATTGGGGTCGCGCCGCTGGGTTCAGTTCTCTCGGCTGCATAAACCACGCGGGCCGCATAACCATACAAGTCAATCGGTGGGGACGACGGCATGAAAGTACTAGTAATTCAGACGCAGTTCAACCGAGGCGCGCTTTTGGCTGTGAGGATCCACCAGCTCACTAGAGAGACTTCGAAGCAGCTTGAAGGTGGTATTTCCTGGTCCTGCCTTGAATCGTCGGTCGACAGAATGTGTGCGAATTAACACGTCCGTTTGATGCGCACACCCATGGAAGCGAAACCTTGTCCAGCAGCTGTGCCTCGGCGGCCATGGCCACAGTTGTGTCTGCATTCAGCTCTGGGTGGTGATGGCCAACCTCGACCCCCAGCAGCAGGAGAAACTCCCGAAGGCAGATGGATGGGAGCTCCCGTGGCCCTCGTGCGTCCAGCCCGCTGCTGCCCACTCCGTGCTGTCTCTCGCGCATGCGCGGCGCTGCGCCGACGAGGCCATGGGAGGCAGCGGGAGCGCCAGCTCCGCGAGCCCACCGCCGGTGTCGCCTGGGACGATGGTCGAATGGCTGGCGCCCGCCTGCCTGCCTCGGCCGTCCGCTGCCTCGGGCAGCGAGGGGCACGATGCAGCAGGCATCAGGGAAGGCATGCTGTTGCCACGGCCTCCGCCCCTCTCGTCGCTCTACTCCAAGGAGGACACGGCCTGCGCCAAAACGGCTACGAGGGGGGAGGAGAGGAGAGGTGAGGGAGGACGGCGAGAAGCAAACAAAGAAGGGCGCGGAAGCCGAGGGTGGAGGAAGCCAAAAAAGCGACGGACGGCGGAGGAAGGCGAGGGATAGGCGGACGGAAACGCCCTGGCTGGGGCACCGAGCGGAGGCCGTGGAACGAACATGTGTAAACCCACTGTAAACCCACTGTGGGCCCATAGGGAAGAGATCGTGGATCCACCACCTCCTCTTCCTCCTCCTTCTCCTCCACCTCCTCCTCCTCCTCCTCCTCCTCTTCCTCCTTCTCCTCCTCCTCCTCCTCCTCCTCCTCCTTCTCCTCCTTTCCTTTTATCTCCTCCTCCTCCTCCTCCTCCTCCCTCCTCCTCCTCCTCCCTCCTCCTCCTCCTCCTCCCCCTCTCCTCCTCCCTCCACCTGCACCTCCTGCTCCTCCTTCTCCTCCTCCTTCTCCTCCTCCTTCTCCTCCTTCCCCTCCTCAATAACTCGCCGGCCCAACGGGCCAGAGGCGTGCTAAGATCTCCGGTAACTACTTAACAATATTTCTAGTTCGCGCGCGCAGGGCGGCCCCTGGGGGCCCCTGGACGAAAAGTACCCCGGCTGACCCCCGGCCGGGTCCCGGGCGATCCCCAGGGGGGAGGCTATTTTTCGCCACCCCTCACGAGAATCGTGGCCTCCGAGGGGGTGGCTGCAATCGACTACCCCCCCTCCCGCTCCAAGGGGCCCCCAAGAGCCCCCTAAGAGGCCCCAGGGGAGCCCAAGGCGCCGCCAAGGAGCCCCAAGACGCTCCCAAGAAGCCCCCAAGAGGCCCCCAAGACGGCCCCAGAGGCCCCAAATAGCGCTCCAGGGCCGGCGGAATGAGCGAAGCGATTAAATAATCCTCCTCCTCCTCCTCCTCCTCCTCCTCCTCCTCCTCGTCCTCGTCCTCCTCGTCGTCCTCCTCCTCCTCCTCCTCCTCCTCCTCCTCCTCCTCCTCCTCCTCCTCCTCCTCCCCCCTCTCCCCCTCCACCTGCACCTCCTCCTCCTCCTCCTCCTCCTCCTCCTCCTTCTCCTCCTTCTCCTCCTCAACCCCACTTTCGTGTTTTTCCAGGCCCTCTGAGACCTTATTGTCCAATCTGGCGTCTTTTTAAGGTCATTTTCCGGCTCTCTTGGGGCTTTCTGAATCTTTAAGACCCCACTTAACAAAATCCCAGCCAAAGCTGAGTGAACACCCCCGCTACATCCCGATTTGCCCCCCACGCAACCTCCGCGTTCCAACAAAAAAAGTGGGGCGGCGAAGTCTGCCCCCTCAGGGGCGTTCAATTAAATTATCCCGGCAAAGCAACCTAACATCGATATGTAGAAGCATAGCTGGAGGCATGCAGCAGCAGTAACAGTCACAGTAGTAGTAGCAATAAGAGCAGGAGAGATGAAACAGTGGTAACAGTGAAGTAGTAGTTATAGTTGGCGGGAGTGAACGAGTGAAGTGTAGTAGTAGTAGTAGTAGTGGGTGTAGTGGTAACAGCGAAGTGGAG